TTTTGAGTTGGACTCTCACTCTGTTGCCTAGGCTGGAGTGCAGTGGCACACTCACGGCCACCCTAGTTTCGACCTGCTGGGCTCCAGCGATCCCTCCTCCGCAGCCTTCCAAGTAGCCAGAACTATAGGCACATGCTACCACACCTGGCTAATTTTTGATTTTTATTGTAGAGACGAGGTCTTGCCAAGTTGCCCGGGCTGGTCTTGCACCCACGGGCTCCGACAATACACTCGCCTTGGCCTCCCAAAGTGTCACTATTCTCTGAACCAATTCAGAGTAATTTGGAGACCTTGAGTGTCTTTGCTTCTAAAACTTTCAGTGTCTTGTTCCTAGGAATAAAAACATTCTCTTATAGAACCATATCCAATTATCAGAATTAGAACTTCCAATATTGATACAAATTCTTGTTTAGTCACTATTCTATATTTATAAAGAAAGTATTTAAGCCACTTCACTTTATCCTAAAGACAGTTTTCATTGTGTATCACAAGTTTCGGGATGAAATATTCTCACTGTGTTTTAGATGTTAGTACTGTTTTGTGATGGAGTAAATGAAACCAAGTCTACAATACTGTGTTGTTACCTGTTGATGCATCAATTGCTTCATAGTTTATCAAAAAACCTTCATAAGCGAGATCAGAGTCAGCCACAAATATCAGCATTAGTGAGTTGCCACTGCTTGTAAGAGAAGGTGGGAATGATTTTCCACAATATCTATACCAAACCAAGAAAGAACAGACATAGGGGTCTTAAAACTTTTAGTACATTTGAAATAATAAACCCCAAATTAGGACATGCAAGTATAATAATGAGTTTTACTTTCTACCTCCTGTCAACCCCAGAAAACAAATATGTTTTAGGCAAACAATATTGACAAACTTACTGAAGATCGTCATGCTCATGATTACTTTCCTGAAATAGTTTTATGTACAGGTTTATGATCATGAGAGCTGTCAAGTAGCAATTTAATGAAATTAGAAAGTACAAGCTATACTAGATTTCCATGTAGCATATTAATAACATTTTAAATAAAAATGCAATACATGTGCACAACCAGGCGAAACAATGTATCATGAACTCATGGAGTTCAAACTCTGGAGTCAACTCTACCACTTAAAAGCATTATGACTGAAGGCAGATCACTCAGTCTTTGTGCCTCAGTTTTCCCATGTCAAAAATGGGAACGATGATAGTGTCTGCTTCATAGAGTTGTCCTGAGAATGTGATGAGTTAATATATTATATACAAAGCACTTAGAACAGTGCCTGGAATAGTAATCCCTATATGGATAAAATATATTGTCCCTAAAAGTTGAACCTATGTAGGAGTGAGAATTTGATTACTAAGCCATGTCATGTTGTTGCTGAACCAAAGTAATTGGCTTAGAAAAACTGTTCCATTAATGCTAAATGTAAAGTTGTAATAAAAGACATTATGCCACGCATATCACCAAGAGAAACATCTGTAAGAAGTAATAAGAAAACAGAAATCTCAAAGCACAGTGGGTATCGTTAGCCAAATGAAATGATAAAGAAAAAGAAATACAGAAACCAAAATAAGGAAATGCTGACTATGGGAAATGAGACAATTGCTAAAAGAGGGGGAAAAAAAGAAAATATTATGCATGATACCATTCAGTATGAAAAAATATTTAATATATAAATAAATATCTTAATATCTAAATAAAGATAGGTAAATTAATTGATATTTTGAACATCTCTCTATATGCTCATGTATACCAAATTTAGAAAAGGTCATTTAAGCTATTCAACAAAAACTATATATTTTGCAATGGTTATGTAAGTACCTAAAAAGATGAACAATTAAGATAAGAAGGGAGATGTTTAAAAAGTGATTGAGAAAAAGGAAAATAAAATGTAAGATGAAGAAATAAAAACATCCATTTCCCATAAGATGTAACAACGGGGGCCAGATTTAACCTTACACCTGAAACAACTAAAAACCTGGACAAAAGATATTTTTTAAATGGCTGTCAGGACATTGGACATCAAGCAATAAAGAACAACAACCCTTCAGAGACAGGAAACAAAAAAGTTTAAAAGCAATACTGGAAAAGATCAACCTGTTTCCAAGTAACTTAATTGCATTCCAGAGAAAGCTCAAGAATACCTATTGGAATATGATAAAGTCCAGTGTCCAAAACCAAAATTGAAATGTCTGGAATCCTATCAAATATTACCAGGCATGAAAAGAAGCAGGAAAGTATAGCTCACAGAGAGAGAGAAAAAAAATCAATATATAAATATGTAGCAAGAAATGATACAGACGTTTGAATTAGTAGACAAAGTCATTGAAATAGTTACAACTGTATCTCATAGATTTAAAAAACTAGATAAAAAATTAATATGTAGAGACACGGACCATATATAAAATGACTCACACTGAACATCTAGAAATAAAACTATAATATCTAAGATGAAGAATACACTGGGTAGGATTAATAACATTAGACACTGCAGAAGAAAAGATGAGTGAACTTGAATACACAGTAATAGAAACTTTCCAAAATGAAACGCACAGAGAGCAAAGACTCAAAATCAAATGAACAGCTTATCTGTGAGTTGTGGAACAACTTTAACCTGCCTAATGTACTTGCATTCAGAGCCCCCAAAGGGGAGGGGAGATGAAAAAATTATTTCAAGAACCAATGGCCAAAAATGTTTCCAATTTGATAAAACTACAAATCTTCAGATCCAAGAAGCACAACAAAAAATTTACGCTAATTGAGAAAAGCATATGGTACAAACATATGGAACATTCAGTATGGTTCTATTTATACAATTTCAGAATATGCAAACTAGTCCTCAGTGATAGAAAACAGATTAGTGTTTTCCCGTGGATCTGTGGATAGGGGTGAGGAGCAGAACTGAGGAATTGTAATGGGCAGGAAGAAAGCTTTGGGGGTGAGGGACATGTGCATTATTTTATTTTGGTGATGGCTTCATGAGTATATACAAATGCATTGAAAAGCATGAGGATCTCACCTGGTTTTTATAACACCTGGTGGATTTTAATATCCTTCACTGAAACGGAAAGCAAGCAAACAGGAAGCTCTGTGTCAAACAAATGAACCAACAAAAATAACCTCACCTCCCAAGAGATGTCTTAGAGTCAGTGTCATAAACTTCCAGGTAGTCTTTGGTGCAATTGTAATGAAACTCCAGATGAAATACTACATATGTCAAACGAATCAGGTGGTTAGGTTGGACTAATATATGCCAGGTACAGTTGATACCATGGGGGTAGATATTTGGATGGCCAGGACTTTTAACAGTTCCTGTTGACTCTGTAAGAATTTCTCCACACGCTGTTGAAATAAAAATAAAAAGTATAAGTAAACAGCAAGCTATCTAGATTTCAAAATTAAAAACTCTATAACCCTTTTATTTTATTTTATTTTATTTTATTTTTGAGTTGGAGTCTCACTCTGTCGCCCAGACTGGAGTACAGTGGCCACTCCCGGCCACCGCAGCCTCGACCTACTGGGCTCCGGCGATCCTTCCGCCTCAGCCTTCCGAGTAGCCGGAATTACAGGCATGCACTACCACGCCCGGCTGATTTTTTGATTTATTGTAGAGATGAGGTCGCGCTGCCCAGGCGGGTCTCGAACCCGCGGGCTCAGGCAATCCACTCACCTCAGCCTCCCAAAGGCGCGGGATTACAGGCTGAGCCACCGAGCCCGGCTCTTTTTCTTTTCTTTTCTTTTCTTTTCCTTTCTTTTCTTTTCAGTTGGAGTCTCACTCTTGTTGCCCAGGCTGGAGTGCAGTGGCACGCTCCCAGCCACCGCAGCCTTGACCCACTGGGCTCTAGCAATCCTGCCTCAGCTTTCCAAGTAACCAGAACCACAGACACATGCATTCATGCCCGACTAGTTTTTGTGGTTTATTGTAGAGGCGAGGACCCACCAAGTTACCCAGGCTGATCTTGACCCCCCTGAGCTCAGGCAATCCTCTAGCCTCAGCCTCTCAAAGTGCTGGGATTACAGGCCGAGCCACCGCGCCCAGCCATTTTTCTTTTATTAATAGATACCAACTAACTACTCATATGTGTTGATTAGGAAATTCATGTTTTTTGTCTTTGAGCATATTTTAAAATTTTCATAGTGTAGATGGTTTTTGTATAATAACTTATTACTGTTGTTCACTTTGTCGGATACAAGCCTAAGAGAAGGAGGAAAAGACAATTTCTTACCCAAATTCTCAGTGCCGAACTTCGCCATGAAACCATGATTTTCAGTAGAAGAACTTTTTACAAATGTGATATAAAGAAAATTGTACACAGATGTTATAAATGAAGGTATGTCTGTGCCACAGTACTTCTTATTTTCAGGAGAACCCAAAATGGAGCTGCTACCGATCTAAATGAGAAAAGATACATTCAATTTTGTTGGATATTGATTTTGAAAACTGCTTCAAGAATAATTATTTCTGAAGTGTGTTTTCATAGAGTAAAAACCAATTTGAGATACAATCCATTTTAGAATATTTTTATCACCCCAAATAACATATTCCTGAAACCAGAATCCCAGGCAGCCACTAATCTATTCTCTATCTCTAAAAATTGCCTATTCTGGACATTTCAGACAAATTAAATTATACAATGTGTGGTCTTTTGTGACTAGTTTCTTTCACATTGTATAATATTTTCAGAGTTATTCCAGGTTGTAGCACGTATCATAATTTTATTCCTTTTCACTGCCATATAAAATTCCACTGTAAAGATACCACATTGTATGTATCCATTTGTCAGTTGATGGACATTTGTTTCTACTTTTTAAATTGTAAATAATGATTATATTTTTCTATTTGCATATGTTATTATAAATAATGATTGTAGGCATATTCACATACACATTATGTGTGGATATATATTTTTATTCCCCATGAGTGTATAACTAAGAATAGAATTGATGGATCAGATGGAAACTCTATGTTTCACTTTTTGAGGAACCGGCAACTGTTTTCCAAAGTAGCTGCACCATTTTATCCCACCAGCAGTCTGTAAACTTTCCAATTTTTTCCATATGCTTATCAATACTTGTTATTATCCGACTTTGAATTGTAGCCATTTTACAGGTGTGACACTGTATCTCTCTGTGGTATTGATTTGCATTTCCATGATGTTAATGTTGTCTAGCATCTTTTCACATGCTTATTGTCTCCATTAGTATATCTTCTTTGAAGAATTGTCTATTCAATCCTTTGCCCATTTTTAAAATCATGTTTTTCATTTTGATGAAGCTTGGTTTTTTAAAAAATGTATATGTATGCATGTGTGTGTGTGTGTGTGTGTGTGTGCGTGGGTTTGTATTGTATTTAAGAGGGCTTCACCTAACTCAAGGTCACAAATACACCTATGTTTTCTTCTGAGTTTCACGGGTTAAGCTCCCACATTTAGGTCTCTAATGTATTTTTAGTTAATTTTTATGTAATGGCATACAGAATGGGCCCAACTTCACAATTTTGAATGTGAATATTCAGTCCTATGTGCTGAAAAAACTATTTTTACCCACTGGTATGCCTTGGCCTCATTTTCATAAATCAATTGACCATAAAAGTACGTGTTTAATTCTGGACTTTCAATTCCATTCCATAGATCTATATTTGTATTGTTATTCCAATAACACACTGTCTTGATTACTGTAGCTTTGTTTTCTATTTGGAATAAAAAAAGTGAGTCCTCCAACTCAGTTCATTTTCAAGAATGCTTTGGTTATTCATATGAAGTTGGCAATCAGCCTGTGAATTTCTGCAAAAGTGCCAGTTAGAGTTTTGATAGAGATTGAATACAATTTTAGATCACTTTGGAGAGTGCTGCCATCTTAACCACATTAAGTCTTCTAATCCATGATTAAAAGTCTTTCCCTCTATATAGGTCTTCTTTAATTTCCTTCAATGATGTTTTATGGTTTCAGAGACAAGTTTTATACTCCTTCTGTAAAGTGTATTCGTTAATGATTATTGTTTTTAATGTTATTGTAAATAGAATTGTTTCCTTGATTTCATTCTCAAATTGTTGACTGCTAGTTTATAAAGAGAGAAATATTTTAAAATTTTGATCTTTTAGCCTGCAACTTGCTGTATTTATTAATTCTGTTTTTTTTTAAATGTGTGTGAATTCCTTATGATTTTCATACACAATATCATGTTATCTACAAATAGACATCATTTTACTCCTTCATTTCCATTCTGGATGCATTTTACTTATCTTCCTTGCATAATTGCTCTAGCTAGAATTTCCAGTATAATGCTAACTAAAAGTTGCAAGAACAGACATCCTTATCTTTTTTAACAGTCATATGTCATAGTATTTAGAATTTCATCATTAAATATAATATTAGATGTGAGGTTTTTTGGTTGTTGTTTGTTTGTTTGAGTGGTTGGAGTGTCACTCCGTCTCCCAGGCTGGAGTGCAGTGGCATACTCACAGCAACTGCAGCCTCAACCTGCTGGGCTCCGGTGATACTTCCGCCTCAGCCTTCCAAGTAGCCGGAACTATAGGCGTGCACAACTACGCCCGGCTAATTTTTGATTTACTGTAGAGATGAGGTCTCACCAAGTTGCCCTGACTGGTCTAGAACCCTCGGGCTCAGACAATCCACTCACCTCAGCCTTCCAAAGTGCTGGAATTATAGGCTGAGCCACTGAGCCCAGCTGATGTGGGTTCTTTATAGATGCTTTTTATCAGATTAAGAAAATTTCCTTCTATTCCTAGTTTATTGAGTATTTTTACCATGGAAGGATGATGAATTTTGTCGGACCCAGAGAAGTTCAAATTCCACATCGACTGAAGTGATTACATGGTTTTTGCCCTTTATTTTATTCATATTATGTATAAAGTTAATTGATTTTTGGATTTTACACCAATCTAGGATTCCTGGGATAAACTCTACTTGGTTCATATCGTCCTCTTTATAAACTAGATTCAGTGACCTAGCATTTTGTTAAGGATTTTTGCATCTATATTCATAAGAGATATTGGTCTATACAAACTCCTTTTGTTTCTTGTAGCAGATTTGAGGCTAACATAATATTCTTAATAATATAGAATCAAATACGAATCCAAAGCCTTTTCACTCTTACCTCAATATAATCCATATCACAGTGAGCAGAACTTCCAATTTCAAAGCTAGTGATATTGAGAAGAACTACTTGGCTATGGGGTTGACGGATGGTCCACTTACAAATTCTTTCTCCAGGATACACATCAGGATAAAAAGGTGAGCGAATGACCCCTTCTCCAGTTAATTCACCCCCACAAACTATAAATACAAAAAAGAGTAGTGTTTGTCCAGAGATAAATAATTCTTGTCCTTGATTTTATTACAAGATCTGATGCTGTCTAAGGAGATAACTGGATGTGACACTTCTATAAGAATATTTTTCTCACTACTTGAGGACATAAAAATACCACATTTACTTTCAAGTAATTAAAATGTTATTATCAGGCAAATTAGATGTTTAAAAATTCAACATGTTTTCTTACCAACTTGATAAAGAGCTCTGAAACTAGCTTTTTCAACAGAAGCATCTATTTTAAACCTGATCCAGATAATATTAGTAATGGATTTAATATGAGAGATGGTTTCATTGCCACAGATTTTTCCAAGTAGGGTTTGATGATCTCGAACCTAAACAGAAAAACAAAATAGATCTGTAATCATAATAAAATTACCTTGGCAATAGTGCATTACTTGGAGATAAGAAAATCACAGATTCAAAATGAGTAATAATCTAATTTAGGTCATATATTTACATTATTTTTTAAAGTAGTTGGTGAATTTTTTTAGCACAATGCAATAACAGTAAAATTGATAAAACCTTAAGCCAATAAAATACAAAAACTAAAAGTTTTTAAAGTATTATTATTATCTCCTAATAATTTCCACAATGTCAAAGAGGAAATAAATTTACAATTTTGGACTATTTAGAAAAGAACAAAAAATGACAATATTATATATCAAAATAGACATGTAATCTGTAGTCAGAAAAAGTCATGGACTAAACTAAACTAATATCATGGACTAAAAAAGAAAAAGAAAGAAAAATAAAAGAAAGAAAAGGAGAGATGGAAGGAGAGAGAGAGAGAAAACGCCTAAGGAAATAATTTTTAAAATGAGAAAGCTTTAAAATGAGGAAGAATTAAGTAAAAATAAAAGCAAGACTTAATAAATAAAATACAAAAGAAAGTGGAATTCATAAATAACAGTCAAGAACTGTTTTTATGAGGGAACTTGGGAGTGAGGATATAAAAGACAAATTTAGCAAGTCTAATAAAAACAAAAATAAGCATAAATGCATGAAATTAAAAATAATGAAACAGATACTAAAGATTTCTTTAAAATATAATTCTATGAACAACTATGTTAATATATTTGAGGGTTTGAAATGGGTCATTTTCAGAAAAAAATATGAATTATTAAAATCACCTGAAGAAGAAAAATAAAATCTGAACAGATGAAAGTCATGGATAAAATTGAAAACATTATCAAATAATTACTGTCCCTTCCTTGCACCCCCCAAAAAAGAAAAACTCCCAGAAGATGCTCTAACTGGTACATTCTTCTAAACAATTAAGGAAGAGAGACTTCTCACATATAATTCATTCTAAGATACCCTCAGACATAGAACAATCCCCAACTAATTTTTCTCAGAACCCTGTTACCACCCCAACATAGGCAATAGCAATGAAAACTATAAATTGATGTCATGTATTAATATAAGACCCAAAATCCTAAACACAGTCCTAAAAAAATGAATTCACAGTGCACTCATCCTTATATAGCAAATCAAATATGGGAATATTGGAAATTATAAACTGTAACTTCATCAGTAGATCCAACCAGATAAACAGTATGATAGTTCCATAAATGCAAAAAAAAGTGTGTTAACATTCCTGATTTATTAAAAGCAAAACTTTTAGAAAGTTAGGAGGAGAAAAAAATTCCTTTTATACAATTGATATTACCAGTTTTAAATCAATAGCCAATATCTTATAGTCGGTATTCATGAACACAGTCTCTGGATCTGGGTTCAAATCCCACCTGTCACTTATAACCTCCTCACTTAATAACCTTGAGAAAGTTACTATATTTAAGCTCATAGTGTTGTTGAAGAAAATAGATGAAACAATAGTGTCAATGCTTTAGCCTGATAATAGAAAACATTGACTGAAAAATGGCTGTTGTTATTTTTGACATTTTAATGGGTGAGACACTAAAGCTTTCTCACCCTAATCGGGAATTAGACAATGGTTATATACACTCTTCCTGTTCTATAAAATTATTTTGAAGGATCTTGCCATTCAAATATTCATTCTTTCACTTCATTAACAATATCAAAACATCAATAAACGCCAGGATCTGTGCTCTCAGTATCACTGTGACAGTCACCGCACACAAGGAACTTGCACAGGCAAGAACATTCCTTAAAAGCATGATGAGGGTGATGTTTGGGAAAGTGCAGGGGTGCTGTGTTATTACTTTGCCAATGGGTCTCAGTAGGGACCACAATTAGGCATTTGGGATATTTGTGAAGGTAGTTTTCTATTGTAGTAGTAATTGTTGTTTTTAATTATTATCACAATGATGGTGGTCACTACTGGCATTTAGTAGCTAGGGGCCAAAGACACTAGACAGCGTGAAATGTGACAGTCACACTCAATAAGAATTCTTTTAAGTCCTGTGGCACATTCATATAGATGAAAGTTGTGCTATTAAGCTTAAAATCTAGCTCTATTTTACAGATTAAGCACAAACTATTTTTCACAATTTTAACACACACTAAATTTTTAAGGATTACAAATAGAGTGTGAATTGAAGTCCTTTCTTTATTTCTTCCTGAAAAATCTGCTAAGAGTTGGTCACCATTTGACAAAAATAAGTCACCAATACACATCGCTGTGTCAGCCTGCATTTGGACTATGACATTCATAGCATTTTAGAGGACAAACGACTACTTCATTTTGTCTTTAAATGCAGCTTGCACAGGCATTTCACATACTGAAATAAATGTGGTTCATTTGGTTGCTTTGTGTTACTTTGCTTTTATTTCCCCTCAGTGTTATACTTGCAATTTCATTTTTAAAAAATATAATGTGTGTAGTGGGGTTATATCATCAGTGCATTTCATTTCTGAATAGGGAAAGGGTGATAGCAAAAGGTCTTAAAATAGAGGGAACCATTGGCTTAACCAAAGACTCTGAACTCGTTCAAGGGATTATACAATACTTCTCAGCAGAAATAACCTTTAAGCTGAGGCTTGAAGGATGAATAGGAATTATCTGGGTCAAGGGGAGCAGGCAGTACAGGCAAGATTTATAAAGTGTAATATTCAAAGTTGGTTAGAGATATGGTGACACAGTTGCTCTTAACCATAACTGGTGGCTGTATATAGTTCTGGAAAATCACTTGACAATATGTACTAGGAGTATTTCACTTCTAACACTCTATCTTAAAGACATTCATGGTGTACATTAAGACACACATGCATCAACATCAAAGTATGCTTTATAATAACAAGAATTGAAACTATTCTAAAGGTCTAATAATAGTGGGGTGATGAAATAAATTATGATTCAGCCATATGATAGAGTCTTAGACACATAAAAAATCACATGCCTCCCCACTGACTCAAGACCATGCCAATTCCTTTCTCCAAGCTCTGACAGCATCTGCAACACAAATTTCTCAGACTGTAGTAAAGTTACACTAAATTTCTCTCTAACAAAACAACAAATCTCTGAGGGAAGAAAAAATTTCTGTATCCCTTTCAGCATGTAACAAAAAACTTTGCCAACAGGTATTTGACAAATTCTTGTTGATTCATTAATTTTAAGGTACAGTATGATGGTTCAATTTTTGTTAGAGACACAGACATTATACAGTTCTTGAAAACCAGAAAGCATGAAACACAAAGTAAGATATCTTTCTGCTCTCTATTCTCCAGGGTTCGATTTGCTTCTTCTAAGATTGCAGTCTCTCTTTTCTAGTTCCCCCATTAGGAGATGACAAGAAGGAAGAAAAACAGCCAAATAGCATCGCAGCAAGCTGAAGTCTGCCATTCCCCTGGGCCCCAACTAATGAAATTCAAGGATTTTAGCAAGGAGAAAGGCAGCTGCCGTCCAAATGTTTTAAGAGGAGCTTATAGGGCTCAAGGGCCCTCAACCTGGAAGGTGCAATTGATTTTGGCTCTGTTTCTCTCCCTCTCTCTGTGGAAATGAAACCTTATTAATTCTGAAAGCCTGTAATCTCCATGGATCCCAGATGTGGCAATAGTTTAACCACAGCTCCTTGGAAAGAGATACTGAAATAAAATACATCAAATGCTCTAAAGTGACCCCAAATTCCTTTGCAGCACATCTTACATTCTATATTCTTGGATTTGATCCATGTTTACCCCCACCAAACAAACAAATTCTTTCCTTTGTGCATGTGAGCTAGGATGAACTGCATGATTTTTCATAATTATTCACTTCTCTTCCTGTAAAAGCATTTTCGCCACATGACCTGCAATACCTCCCTATGGAAAATTAGTGCTTGTCTTTCTCATTGTCTTAGGCTTAGCCGTGGGACTTGCTTTGGCCAACTGAACGTGAGCAGAAGTGATGTACCCATTTCCAAGTAGTTTTCCTTTTCCCTTTCATAAGACCAAGAGCCTAGGTTCCAGGATGGAAGACACAGGAAACAGATCTGCAACTGATCCCAAACTCACGGTTTAATGTGAGCAAAAAATAAACATCTGTTGTTGTAAGCCACAGATATTTTTTGTTTGTTAGTGTTTTGGGTTTGTCTGCTTGTTATTGTTGATTGCTTGTTCTTGCAGCATAGCCTAGAGAAAGATGACTAATATCTGATGATGTCTGTGGCACCAAAGAGTTTTTCTTAAGAAGCCATGCCATGATCACTTGCAGAAGGATCACAGCAAATCTGTTCTTTTTAGTAAATTACGTTTGCAAAGAAATGGCAAGAACCGATTCAAAACGTGAGTGCTCTGTGGATGAGGCCCAGATTTCTCATGGATTGCCTTATTTGTCCAGCAAACACTGTATATTTTAGGCCTACAGTTCTGACATAGAATATAACCTGTGACCCAGGATTTTTAGCTTAGGGAGCATTCCAAATAGTTTCTGATTTTTACGTTCGTCAGATTAAACAAGTTCCTGAAGAGAAACTACTCGTTTAAAAAACGAGTTTTTGTAGAGGAACTATTTCCTGCAGAGAGAGCTAAAATTAACGGGACTGAGAAGCACAACGTATATAAAATTTCAAATGTGTGACCTAAAGCCCAGTAAGCAGTTAACTGTAACATCTGGAATGAGTCAGGTCCCAAAGTCATATCTCGCTGCGCATGCTCATTTGTCTCTGCTAGGAATCCAGGTTTGTTTTTACACTACAATTTCTAAAATCCACTTAAGTATTAAATTTTCATTCAAAGCAACCCCAAAATGCTGGCACTTAGGCTTGATCCACCCAAGAGCTGAAAACAGAACTCTGCATATGGTAGTGCTTAACAAGTGGCTTCTGGTGAAGCGAGCCTCAGGCTGACAAACCCCTGAGCTAAGTCAAGAATTGATCTAGGAGACAGCCTTGGGCTAATCTGTGAGAGCAGCAGAAGGATATGTCCCCAACCC